GCTCTTGAGTTCAGTAACTACTGTGAATTTTTCTTGGCAATGAATGCATGCAGGCAAGAGATGTTCATGATCCTGGGAAGGGCATTTGTCAGAGTTTGTTCTTAAATCAACACTTTTACCTTTTTTTGGTTTTCTTCTGTCTAGTGAGGTACAAATCCCATATAAAGCTTTCCCCATAGTTGTGAGCATCTATTTCCAATGGTATCTTTAGAGTGCAAAGCAGACTGTAGCTTCAGTTCAGGGTAATTTTGTGAGAAAGTGAGTCCATCCAAAGACTTGAATGTGTGCTTTGTTAATTATTGCTCTCAGAATTGATGGTTTTTATTGTCCATCTCTTCTTTAAAGAAATCTTATCCATTAAACTGCTTGCTAGTTACACACATCCCACATCACTGTATAAATACACTGCTACTCAAAATGTTTGGCAGCTGGCAACTCTTCAGAGAAGTATTTGGGAGAAACAGAAGGGCCTCGCTGTATAGTTTTGTTTATCGATTCCCTTAAAAACTCCTGCAAAACATCTCTTACAGTTTAGAAATTACAGATTTAGCAAGTTAAACTCTTTCTCATGTATATGACAATGAATATTAATTACAAAAGCAGATGTTTGTGAGAAGGAACATTTGCCTTCATTTTTGAACTTGTATTTATATTCAAGACACACAAGCTTTACTTTGCATCTGATTTTCTTATGTTGAAAGGTTTTTATTAAGTATAGTTTTTAAAGTAACCCTTCTTCTTCTTTGTTTTTAATAAGAGAACCACATTAGTTTAAAAGGCAATCACCTGCATTTTAAGAATAGGTTATATTCTCTGTTTTTCTGTGTCGAAAATAAGTCCTATTTTCACCTAATTTTTCTGGGATGGAGATACTTTGTGACATATTTTTGTTGTTTCTGCTTGTTCCATTGAAGCTGGTGTTGATTCAGCTTTGATGGAAACTACCTTTTAAAGTAGCCAGGATGCTTCCATTGTTCTCCTTTATTCTCTTATTTTGTCATTTACCCAGCATATGTGTACTGTGCATTTTTTCATTGGTGGTGCTGGTGCATGGTAAAAATTCTGTTTCAGCCCATGCTTGTATTAGTGAGAGTGGCTTTTCCTCATATTCTCATTTGTTGCCACAAATTTCAACTTGTAGAAGCAAATTCAGTGAGAATGGAAATAAAATTCAATGAAAATGGAAATAAAGCATCTAGGTACCCCCTTAATTAAAATAATACATAATAGGAGTGATTAATGCTGTGGGAAACAATGGTAGCTAAACATCTCTCAAAGCAAGCCAAGCCAAGCAAGGAATAAAGCTTAAAAATGTGTGATTCTTCTGTTAAAGAAAGACCTGCATAAATTTGCTATATAATACTTATGCCAGGTGGCCTAATTTCTAGATACAGCCTTATTCACTCCCCTTTCATCATTTCTTCAGGGACAAGAGCTGGTTAGTTTTATGATTTTTAATACCCCTAGTGTGTTGTCGGTACTGCTGTAGTCTAAATTATGTTGATGTAATTGCAAAAATTATTCTACAGATAAGAAAAAACATACATTCACTACATTTTCCACACTATTTCAGAATTTTTAATGAAAATCATATTTGATACTTGTCTCCAGCAAAGAAATAATGAAGTATCATGCCTGGGGGAGGCTTGTGTTTTCAGCTGAAGTAGCAAGGCTGAAACTTTAATTCTAAGCAATCTTATAAGTTGGGTCGACAAGGTGTAGGTAACTTAATTCCAAAAGCTTTGCTCTGGAGACTGTCTTCTGACATAAGATAGGATAAGTCATGGAGAGAAATGGTTACAAAAATGTATGATAAATAGTTCAGAAAATATTGTTTTGAAATGGATTTAGAATTGGATATGAAGCCAGTGTAGAACATGAAGGAGCAATGATTCCATTTGTCTCACAAACAGGTGGATTTTTAAGTATGTGTTTTAAACTAATGTGAGTTTCCACTTGGACTTGGAATTAGTTCCATGTTTGAGATACATGTGTAAAATAGCATAAGGAGTTAGTAAGGAATAACTTATTTGGGAGAAAATGAGAGTGGTTGTGCTTCCACAGATGAAGGATCTGTCTAGCCAGGAACCCTCTCACTATGGCAATTCTTCGTGGCACATGTCTAGGAAACTTTTGTGAAAACTTGCAAATCTTCAGCATTTGTGGCTGAAGAAACTCCTGTGACTGAGGTCATGTGTTTTCATATAGGAACTATATATTTTTTCAACTTTAACTTCTTCACTGACTTTCTGAACCCATGCAAGCTTTTAGCATCAAGATATACATCCACAGCTCTTGATTTAGAGGAAATGTACCCAAACACACGCACACAGAGCTGGTGCCCATCTTGTCTCTTGCTGTCCAGACATACTCCTGGAGGTAAAACCAAGATCGCAACAGCAATTACAGTCCTGAGTGGACTTTCTGTCAGGTCTGTACTCCATGCAACCAGTGGCTTCTTGTTTATTCCCTCTGCCTTTATTATTTAGTAGTTAGCTTAATATTTTGCTTATACAGATCCCATTAGGCTCTTTCATTGTTATGTAACCAACTCCTCTTTAACAAAATGTAGGTATTTGAAGTCCTTGATAACATTTCAGACTGTGTTGAAGGTGTTGCTTACATGCAAGCTGCTAGTGACACATCATTTACGTTCTGCCTACCTAGAGAGGAAGCAGACCTTAATAATCAACCATCCTTCTCCCTCCTTCAACACTTTCTTGATAACTCAATCAAGAAATTATGCTGGAAGGAGCACTTGAACATAAATTCCTAAGGAAGGAAAAAGTAATGTTTTAGCAATGTGAGAATGAGCAACCAAATTAGGGGGATGAGCCTTGTTTCATATGTTCATTGTTTTTTAATTTGCATATCAGATCAACTATCAAAACAATTTTTCTCCCTTTTCTTTTAAACTTGATATACTATTAATAAAAGATACAAATTTTATTCAGAATGTATGCTAGATAGACTCCCTTTATCAGGGAAGTTATTGTGTAGAGAAACTGGCAGAATGTGAATGTTTTTAGAGAAAGCAAGGAAAAAGTAAGTAACATAAAGATTTGACTGTAACCCGAGAAGTGCAAATTTCTCTCTCCCTATTCTTCAGAAATACCACCTACTTCTATAATTTCCTTGGTACTTTGTTGCTGATAATCAGGAATTAGAAAAATTCTCTTGTACTGCTATTGAACAGACACAGACAGTGAGCAGTTTGTGTGTGAAATGTTTAAGTTCTGATTCCTCTGTGTGTCCAAACTCTGCTCTATTACAGTGTGCCTGTATTAAAAGTCGAATGTCTTTTATTCTAAGGCCACCAAAGGTTAAAACCTACTGAAAACTCTGTCCCATGAGTATCTCTGACAGGAATTCCTGTTTACATTACGATAAGAAGGAATTGTTGAAACTGATTGTCGTGGTCTGACATAGTTCTTTTTTACATTTTTGTTGTAACCAGCAACTGCTTTAAATTCTCAGATCTCAGAGCTGAACATTGTTGTGCAAGAAATAATGGTAGCAGTCTTCATTAATTTCTTTTTAATCCAAAAATGCAGGAACATGGGCAACCCAACTGGAAACTAGTTGGGCCACAGGATGTTTAACACTTTTCAAATAAATTTTTTTGGCAAGTGCTTCATTTAGCTTAGGCTTCTGCCTTTCAAAGTTTTCACAGATATCTGTGGTTTATTCCCTTGTAAAACAAAAGTGCAGTAGAAAGATGTGGGGGTTTACCTTGATTCCTAATTAAAAACAGAATTTCAGAATATACTGAGTTGAAAGGGGCTTGGAAGGGACCCACAGGCACTATCGAGTCCAACTCCTGGCCCTGCACAGAACCATCCCGCAGGATCACACCATGTGCCCAGGAGTATGTCCAAATGCTTATTGAACTCTTGTCAACCAGCAAGATAATTTTGTTCTGGTTACAGTGAAGTTCTTCTGTAAGGGGTTGGACTTCTTGTTTCTTCCCTGAAATTCAAGTTTTTTAATTAGAAAACACAATACAAACCTGTCAAATTGTACTGAATGTCAGTTCAGCAAATACTATTTGAAGTAATTTTAACCTCATTAAAATAGAGGAAAATTATGCTTTACAGAATTGCCAGCAATGACACTTCTGAGAACATTACAGTAGGTTTAGGCAAGAACGATTGTATAACAGTACTGATGTAAATTCAAAGAATCATTACTGTTAACTTCAAGGATCTGGGTTTTATCCTAAGCATGCAAGCTTGGTCAGAGAGAGTTAAAAAGGAGAGCATACCGTGAGCCATCTTGAATTCATGTAGATATTTCTGTAGTCGTGGGGATTCAGCTTTTTCTGTAACCACCTTATATGTTATTCTCACCAAACAAGAACTCAATTTCTGAATCACTTCAGTTATGTTAGTTTAAATTAATTTTATTAGGGCTTTATCATTCTGTCTGAGGAGAAGGAAGCCCTGTTTTGTCTAACCTTATGTGTAGCTGCCTAAAAATATGGAAAAACCCCTGCTTTTAAAACTGGGTGTGTGAGTATTGTCCTGGGACTGGAATAACGGGTTTCTATTTTAAGCATAGTGTACTGCTTTGGAAACCAGTGTGTTCTGAGTACTAAGGATGGCATTGATAGCAACTCTTCTTGTGATCCTTAAATTAGTTGAAACTTAATTTTTGAAGTCTTTGGTTCTGAAGGCTTTGGATACCTAATGGTGTTTTGAATCATGGTCAGAAGTCATTCTTAGCACAGTCTTTCTAAATTCCTGTCTTCTAGTGTAGGATAATTTCTGCCTAGTAATAGCTTTTCATTGATGTAATTTGTAGGTGTTAAAGTGTAACATATGTTTGTTGCTTGGCCCTGAATGTTTGACATTATATGGACACCTAACAGCAGTATGCAAATACTCACATGACACGGCTGTATTGTGAAAATATTTTTTCAAATGGATAAAAAGGTGTTGTGGGGAGGATTGTTCTGTTTCTTTCTTACCAAGAATTCTTTTTGTTTATTTGTTTTTCAGATAATGGAGGACAAACTTTAGCAGGGGGGAATAACTGGCCACTGAGAGGGAGAAAATGGACCCTCTGGGAAGGAGGAGTGAGAGGTGTAGGCTTTGTTGCAAGTCCTTTGCTGAAACAAAAAGGTGTAGAAAGTCATGAACTCATCCATATCTCTGACTGGCTGCCAACGCTGGTACACCTGGCCGGTGGACATACCAATGGCACTAAGCCTTTGGATGGCTTTGATGTTTGGAGCGCTATCAGGTAACTTTCATGTCAAATCACCACGTCATCACTCTGGTATGAGAAGTTAATCAGCCCAGGAAACAGAACTGGAATGGGAGGGAAATATCACCTGTTCATTTCCTGTAAAAGAGGGAAGGTATAAATGCAGTCAATTGTGCTATCTATGAGAGAATTATCCAGGTAGCAAATGAATTCTGGTTGCAGATGCAAAGCCTTCATACAGCTTTAACTTGGTATTTTGAGTTTTTCAGTATGAACACAACAGCTCACAGGCATGTATACTTCTTCAAGAACATTCTGTGATCTTGAAGAAGGCTAACTGATTTTGCGCAGCATAGATTACAAGTTAGTAAATTTTATGGATCAAACCTGCTCTCTACAGAGCTCAGTTAGGTGTGTCTGCAGTATGCATCTGGAATTGGACATGTGGGAAATCTGTGCAGACATTAAACTCACTGAACATGGATCCCACTTTGATGGTTTGTTAGCTCAGTACAGGAATTGTCAGGCTGGCTCACAGTGTAACCATTTGCATAGACCTGTGTCATGCTGTCCAGTGTCTTGAAAAGCCTTTGAGATCGGGTACAAAGTACACCTGACCTGGTTCCTGAAGGTTGTGATGGTGTGACTGATTCAAGCAAGCTGAAGTACTCAAAAGCACAGTGCAGACATGCTTAGATGACTGGAAAAAGAGGCAACATAGCTCCAGCTGGGTTATTTCAATGTTCTTTTATTCCATGAAAAAGGATTACAAAGTCCTTAAAAGCTAAGTTTCTGCAGAATTTGAAAGTTCTGTGACCAGCCTTTAGTTTTGCAAAAATTGTGTTGGTTTAAATTCCTTTGTTTCTTCATTTTCTGTGCTGCATATAATGTATGCATTGGTAGAGGTAAATCCTGTTCTCTTCTTTTTAGAGGATATGTTTTTTTAGTAGTTCTTTGAATATAGTTTCAATTCACATAAAAATAATTAGGATGGAAAGTTCAATACTGCTAAAGCAGAATAAAAAGACTAACAATTCCATTTCCTACACGCAATTCAGTTGAAGATTAGTGTTCTGTTTCTTTTGGTAGCCTTTGCTCTGCTTTTATAGCAGGTAGATCATACTATATTATGTGTGTTATCACCTTTTGTCCCCTTCTTTTTTTGTGTGTCTTAGTATCCTAGACTGGGAATTGCAAGAGTTAAAAGCAGTTCCTAAACAAGCATGAGCAGGTGTGCTGTCTGAGTTAGGGACTGAGATGAGAAATTGAGAGTTAGAGTAGGCAGATTTGAACCCATGTACCCATCCATGGATCAATCTATATGGATCTTGGAGTGAAAATGAAAAGCAAAACCAAACCATACCCCCTACACCTTCCCAGAACTAAACACTATGTCTTGAGTTCAGAATTGGTTTGTCTATACCTGTAACATTACCTGTTTGAAGCTGGTAATCTTGATTTAATTCTTAGTGGTGCCTGTGTTTCTAAAGAGCTAAGGGGTGGTTTTCTGCAGTAGCTGGAGTTTACAGAAGCTCATGGCCTTGTGCTCAGGTGTACTGTGTGGCTCTCTTCCAAGTGGAAGAAGATAACGATATGTATAACTGGGGCCAAGGCTCATTAACTGCCAGGAAGGAATGGAGACTCCCATCCAGCCAGAAAAAGTAAAATCTTTTACTTTGTCAGTGTTCCTGTGGGGAAACTTTGCATCAGCAAGATCCAGAGTACACCTACACCATAGACTTATCTTCCAGCTACCGTTAGAATTCCTGCCTACTTTAAGTTCAGTTTCAACCATGTATTTTTGCAATGGATTCATCATCTCAGATTAGGTTACTTCAGCAGGAGAGTTGTTGGGGAAGGATAAATACAACTGTGCCAGCACACTGCTGACATTTGCATTTCTGTCTTTGTAAAGGGAATGAATACAATCTTTACTGGCACTGCCAGGGAACAGGTGGCTACTAGTGTTTTTGGGTGGGTCAAAGAGAGGGTCTCTGTCTAGACAGGTAATAAGTCAGGTTTTCTAACTGTTAGGCTATTCCTTGGCTGACCTTGCAGCCAAAATGTCAAATTTCACATGATTTTCCCATGTAATTGGGATAAATGAGCATATTAAACTTCATGACCATAATTCAAAAGGTCACTTGAATATTGGATAGCAAACAATGAAGGCATAGTGCCCTTTTGGTGATATCTGATGAAAAGCTCAAATATGTTGTTTTTCTGGGACCAAATGACTCACAGTGAATGAAATCATAACTTGCTAAGATTCTAACTCATTTGAAAAAGGAAAATTAATCACTGTTTTACATCTCTTTTTTTTTCAGTACAGTCTAATATAAATAAATGCATAAGCTTCTTGTGATTTTTTTCTGGGGGGAGGACACTTTAATCCTGAGCCTGCTGGTTCATATGTGTGTAATCAAGAGGAAAAAGACCATAAAATTGGAACCTTGATTTAGGTATTCAAAAGAATATATGGGATGGTGCAGATATTATCAGGAGTCAAAAAAATATTTAATCTATTTCAGTGATCTCTGTCTATTAATGATCAGTATTTTAAAAATGAGTTCTTGATATGATGTTCATGTAATACTAAAAGTGTAATCATATGATGCAATAATTTATAATAAATCTTATATTACTGAAAATAGCTATGTATAAATATGATATACTATAGAAATAGGAATATATATTCAATACACAGAAATTCAACATAATTTTTTAAATGCTTTCTGAAATTCTAGACCAAGATGAACTTTCTGTCATGACTTTAAATGACTGGTAGTCCAAATTGGGAATCACATTAACATGACAACAATTAATATTAAGTACTTGTAGTGCAAAGTCTGCCCAGCGAAACACAGAGGCAGAGGATTTCAAGCCATCCACCTGGCATCCCCACACCATGATGTTTGTGAACCCATGGGCCCAGCATCTGTTGCTGTGGTGCAAAGGTCCAGGGATGCCAGGTGTGAAGTCCTTCAAGCTTCTTCTGTGCTCTTCATAGGTTTGGTAACTGCACAGAGGTTCCAGTCATGCCTGTTTGTGTCCTTTTGATACTGCATCTGTGTCCTGCACTACCTCTGTGAGTCCCTGAGGGCCATCACTGCTTAGCTTCCAGGTGCCCCTGTCCGGTGGAACTGGCCTCGATGTGCTGGGGCTGTACTGACATGCTGGTCTGGGTTGTCATTAACATGGGTTGTTACAAGAGCCCTTTCCCTGCTCTCATGTCTATGATGTTGTCTTCACATGCAGATTTTACCACTCTTTCTCCATCCATACCTATCTTGGACTATTTTTCTCTGCAAAATTTTGTTGCAGCGTATAATTAAACCAGTATTATGTAATTTTTATTTTCTCCAAGTACATTTGAAATGAAGTGTAACTTCCTCTTTGATGTCTTTCACTTCTTTTTGCAAATAACTTAGCACGATGTCATTGTGTCAACCCATTTTTAGATAGCTGTCAGATCTTTCCAGTCTCAGGTATCAATATTTTATAAAGGTTCATAAATAAATAATAAATCATAGTATATTTCCCTACTATCTTGCCTTAGGTTATCATGGGTAAGACAACAATATAGCTCTAAAACCATGTATGTATTACAGGTAATTTCTGAAAATATGGTGATAATATCGCTGATAGACTTTACAAAAATGCAGTTGAGAATAGCAAGAATGGTATTAAAATGCAACCAGTCAAGGAGTCTAAATTATACTGCATATTTCCAAGCAAGTATCACAAAAGGCAGTTGCATTTTTAAGAAATATCTGTTCTCCAGATGCTTACTACTCTATTGAAATAAAGACACTTGGCAAAGTAGTTTTTCTTTGGTTGATACATTTTTTTGATACATCTTTATTTTCAGCACTGAATATCTAGTGTGTCCATGCTCAGAGAAAGTATTTATTTTGCATTAACAGAAAAATGTAATTGTAGACCACATGACGCAGTATGATAGCCACTGAGAGATTCAGGATTAAATACAGTACAAGTAACTATTATTTTCTCAAAGCTTATTATTAAGCAGAGAGTTTAAAGTCTTACTTATATATTTTGTACGGCAAGTTTTATAATGTTGAAATATCTTTTATAATGTTGAACTATCATAACTGATTGGGTGGAGTAAATGAAGTAAGATCAGCTTGAATTCTTCTCTACTGAATGGGAGCATTTATTTTAGAAATCAAACACCTCTTTTTAAAAAAATCATTGTTGTGATATAAATTAATACAGAAGAAAGAGCAGTGTAAAGCTGAGAGTATGTTCATTTCCCACATACTGAAATATAATCATTTTAGGAAAACATTAAAAATAAGACCTAGAGAAAATGACAAGGTTATAAAGACTCAGATTTTGCTTAGTGACACTGAGAATGTTTTTGTGCAAGACAAACACACTTACCCTGAAAAACCTTGGATTCCTTGCCAAGGCACCTTCTGGCTGTTTAAAAACAAAAGTAAAAGATTGCTTGTAGATCTTTGTTTGTGTTCTCTAAGGAATAATAGGGCTTTTGGTATGTTTTAAGAACTTTGCAAATCAGAAGAATGAACTAGCTGATTCTCATACCATCACTGAAGTTAGGCCACATGCTTTCATTGAGCTGTTCTTACATAGAGGACTGTTTTGAAAACCAGCAGCTTTTAGCTATTTAATTGAATAATAAGGACATATCTTAATTATTCTACCATCTGACAGGGTAGAATAATAACCAGACAATATAAAAAGTTCCTTATGTTTAGGGGGAGGGATGACGTATTAGGATATTGAAGTCTAAAAATAAATATTCTAAAATTAAAGCGTTGTAAGATATGGTTACCCATGCAGTTACTAAAATACAAAGGCAGGTTTCCCTGGAGAATATTATTGCTTTGTTATTGTAGCTCTCCTGGCTAGACTATATTCCTGATGCAAAATACTCTTGCAGAACATCTGCCAAGGTGAATCTGTAGTTGCATTTGTCTCTCTGGGGGGTTTTGTAAATGGAAAGGAGGGCAGAGTTAAGGCAGATTCGTTCCAGGGAAATGAATCTCTTTTACAGGCATAAATTTCCTATCTGCTGTCTCCAGAATGTTTTTTTCTGTTTTCCTGATGTTTTTTGCTGTGAGGCAGGTGGTGTTTTCAACATGCAATGCCAAATTCCTTGGGTGTTGTTTTGTGATATATGCTGGCTATGAATATCCATGCTTTGTACAACAAGAATTACTGGGGTAGCACTCAAACTGAAAAGCAGTGCTGTACCATTGTAGTAGCTCCATGGAGCTTAATGCAGTGACACCATAAGCTTCAGGGAGTAAATCTGATGATTACATATAAATCACATCCAAGGTACTAAGAACAGTATTCTATCCCAGAACAAAAATGGATTCAATAATAATGGCAACTGCTGCATGAAAAGCTTACATTAATACAAGTATAATCTTTATTTTTTGCATTCTATCAGCTGTAATGTAAATAGCCATGTTTAGTATATAATATCCACTGCCCATGTTAAAATTTATAAAGGAAGTTACCTTCAGTCTGCTTGAACACTATGAATATATTTGGCATAATCAGAGACTCATATAGAATCATAGAATAGGCTGGTTGAAAGGTCATTTAGGCCAACCCTCATGCTTTAGACAGGGACATCCTCAACTAGATCAGGTTGCCCTAAGTCCTGTTCACCTGACCTTGAATGTTTCCAGGGATGGATCATCTACTACTTCTCTGGACAACCTGTACTATTGTTTCACCACCCTCATCATAAAAAATTTCTTTCTTATATCCAATCTAAATCAACTGTCCATCAGTGCAAAACCATCACTGTTTGTCCTGTCACAGCAGGCCCTGCAAAAAAGTCTGTCCCCGTCTTTCCTGTAAGCCCCCATTAAGCACTGAAATGCTGCTATGAGGGCTGCCCAGAGCCCTTCTCTTCTCCAGGCTTTAGAAGCCCAACTTTCAGCCTGTCCAGAAAGAAAGGTGCTCCAGCCCCCTGATCATCTCTGTGGCCTCCTCTGGACTCCCTCCAGCAGGTCCCTGTCCTTGCTGTGCTGTGCCCCCAGAGCTGATGCAGCCCTGCAGGTGGGGTCTCAGCAGAGCAGAGCAGAGGGGCAGAATCCCCTCCCTGCCCTGCTGGTCACTCAGCACTGTGTGAATACTGAGCAGCACCGTAGGAATACTGAATATATAGAGATGAGAAGTAAATAGGAGTAAGTTACTTAATTGTGCTGTATTTGACTCTGGTAGAAGATACTGTGTTACTTAGCATAACTCTGGTGGTTTCTTTCTTTTAAAATATTCTGGAAAATGTAGATAGAGCTCAGAAACGGAAAGAAAACCTTCCCAGTTTTTGCAGTTATTGCAGAGTCAATCACAGGCTATAAATTTGAAACCTAGTTTAACTTTTGCTAACTGGTTCTTGTTACTGTTACCTATGAACAGATGGTGAAAGGCACACTTGAACACAGCTGTCAATGGAGCACATAGAGTTTATTAAATCTAAGATAAAATTTGTTTAAATAAGGCCAAGCATTCTTAAATTAAGAGTGTGACTACTATATACACTTGGCGGGGGGCGGGGGGGGCACAGTTAGCCTTTCACCCACACTTTGGGAAAACCCATTTTTGTGGCAGTTTCTATACATTGAATTACTAAAATTGTAGCTTAATGAATGTAATTCCTCTGTATTAATTACAATACTATATTACCTGAATACATTTAATCTTTTAGTTCTTCTTGATAGTTTGGTATTCCCTCAAAATGTATCATCCAGAAATGCTTTTAGAAATGTAACAGAAAAATACTATTTTGTTTGTTACTGCAAAATTTAACTTACAGGTAAATTCTGTTTAATAATATACAAAATAACTATAAAATAGTTAAATACTTAAAATAACTATAGTTTTTCTTATGTCTCCAATGAGTTTTATATTACCTGAGTTATTATTCTTAATGTCAGGAAGCTTAGGGGCCCTGTTTGAATTTTTTGTGTCTTAAGTTAAGCTCCTTAATGAAAGAAAAAGCAATTTAAATTATTTGGAAATTTTTGAAAGGATGTATTTAGGTTCAGTGTCAAATAATAAGTTATTGTTGTGTCCTTGTGTAGACATGTTTTTTTCTAATTATGTCTTCCTACTCATGTTGCCCTTTATAAGGAGTAAATTTCATTTACTCAGTTTTTTAGGTCTGGGATTTACTTAGTAAGAAAATTTATGGATAAGTTCAGAGGCTTATTCCTCACCATCTCTATATACTGAATGGCTAGAAAATGAAGGATTATTTTATTTTTTAACACAACAAGATTATACGTATCTAAATAATCCTAGTGACCTCAATTAGAAATCAAAGGCGGTTTTCTTGTGGGATAGCAATGCTTGTGGTGTATTTTGAGGCACCCAGCCATAACGCTTCCAGCACTTGTTCAGATAAGCAGAGAGCATAGCAAGTGCTATGCCAGCTTATGCTGTGAAATTTGACTCTTAAAATTGGTTTTTGTAAAACCCTGCTTCGGTAGGGCCAATTCTGTACTCAGTAAACTTATGAATAATCTAAATAAACACCACTGAAGTTAGGGAAAACTTGTAGAGGCAAAGGTTGTTGCTGCTCAGAAGGAGTATTCAGATTAAAGTTGATAGTAATAAATTCAAAGTTATGAGCTCACTCTCTATTAAGATGACAAAAACATTAAAACAAAGGATGCAGAGTCCTAATAAGCTACAGAAGGTTATTAACCTTTCCTTTTGAAATCTCTCTTAGTGAAGGAAGACCTTCTCCCAGAGTGGAACTGCTGCATAATATAGACCCCATGTTTGTGGATGATTTCCCATGTGAGTATGCTGAAGATTTATTAAACACACAGTTTACCTTCTGAACACTTCTTGTCTTCCGTAAGTGAAGTATTTTCTTCCAGGTGAAACAAAATACAGTAGGATGCCTTTTGTTTCTAAGTAAATAGCCTTAAAATACAGAAACATCATCCCCTGGATGGTGTAAGTTCTTCAATGTGATCAGCATGGGCTTCCTGTTTCATAGAGCTCTGAAACACTGCTGAGTAATGAATAAAGTACTTTGGAACATGGAAATGTTGAGGAGCAGCTGTGTGTCTGAGGTGCACAGTGAGGCACACTGCCAACAACCCTTTCCAAACCCTCTCTCCAAAGTTCCAAATGAACTGCTCGCCCTAATACATCTTGATACAACTGTATAATATGACCTTGCAAATGGAAAGCTTGAGTTTGTGAGGAACTGAGAAGTTCCAAGCTGTGTGATTGCTTTTGTTCCATAATCATGTGGGTTGGATCCCTAATGCCACAATCACATGAATTGGAGCTGAACTTTGCTAATTCTGTAGCTCTTTTTAAGCACCATCTGTTTTATGATTCAACATTACTAGTTTGCTAAGGCCTACAAGCTTTTCAGGCAGACATTTTTTTTATACAGAACGTTGGAAGAGGTCCCTTCCAGTGTTTTTATAGCATTTCTGTATTTCATTATATGAAGAAGTAAATCCAGGCAGAGAAAAAGTAGTGCAATGGAGACAGTGATCTGTTGCCTGCAAGACAAATACATGTTGTGCTGCAATAACTGGATGGAAATGGGTAAGATGGCCTTGTGCCATGCACATCTGGTTCTGTGACGCTTTTCTGAGAAGGAGCAACATTGTCCCTATCTAATGCTGACTGGGCAGCACTGCCTGCAGATAGTTCCTACATACTGATTGAATTAAGGTGTAGCTACTCCAATTTCCCTTCAGAAAATGCTCAGTGAGTCACAGAATTCCTGTACAATGTTATGCCCTGGTGATGTATTCTCAGGCCTACTTCAGAGACTGTATTTTCCTTGTGGGAATAGTCTGTGATTGGGTTGCTTGAATAGACAAATTCCTGGAGTAAGCAGATGGGGGACAAGCTTTTCAGGAACCTGAACTCTTAGCAAATGTGGCCCTAAACTTCTTCCATGATGCAGTGCTCTGATGATCATTCACTGTTTGCTACATGTATTGCGTCCTTAGTTGTGTGCATTGTGTGAAATGTGGGCAAGTGGGGCTGGGGGTCAGGAGCTGTAGTTGGTGTGACTTTTTTCCTGCATAAGATGCAGTTTTTAAGAATCAGGAACAGAGGAGGTTATATGCATGCCTGTAAATTTGCAATGTTTTTATGTGCATTTCAAAACTGCAGTAATTAAAAACAAAAACTGAGATCTTTGCCAACATGTTCTTATGCACCATATAGAGTTTCCCTGTCTCTTCTCAGCACAGGCCTATTCTTTCAGCAAATTACTTTGTGCCTCCTAGTGAAATTATGCTTTGTCATATAAGGATTAAAATTTCTATTTAATAGGCCTGAGTTCTATTTAAGACTGAGTTATTAGGAGTAATTGGATATGTATGTAAGTCAGCTGATTTTTACTTGCTGTCTGTTTTTCATTTATTGAAACTGAATAATAAGTTTAGAATTAATATCTAGAAAAATTATGCTAGTGTCTCTATTATGAATAGATTAGTGAGACACAAAACTTGGAATATACAAGGTTTTCAGATTTTCAGCAGTCATGGTTCTCTTCATGTTTTGTTGGTTTCCTTTTCTTTTTTTTTTAAGTATCTTAAACTGTCCATGCACTCTTTATGTCACCAAGATGATTAACTGTGTCACTCTGGAGTCTTGCTCTTTCCTTGACTGTTTTGTTTCCATGTCATAACTTTTTTGACAGTGGAGTACTCTTTTGCCTATGGTGCTAAAATGCATGTTTGCAGGTTTTGCTGGGTTCTTTCTAAACTCTGGTTTATGCATGTTTTTCTCTTGTCCTAGTCTGCTTTGAAAAATCACATCACCTAAATCATCTGATGTCAGATGAAATATTGCTATTATTCTAATACTTTCTTTTTCAATTAAATATCAAGATTCTGTTAAATGCAACCAAAAAAGGAGTTTTCAGGTTGTTGTGGTTAATCAGGCAGGAAGACAGTACTGTTGTAATTGGGCAAATGTGGAGCATTAACTTACTATTTTACTTGCACTCAGGGCAAGTTCAGTGTTCCTGAACTCTTGAGTGGGTTTGTCTATAATGTATACATTCTTTCACCATAATATATTTTTATTTAATGGATGCATTTATCTTCATCTCTATCAGAAAAAAATTATTTTATATATATATAAATATAGTTAGTATCATGAAAAATGGGATGCCTTATGTAATTAATAGGGTTTTTTAACTGAAACAGGAAAACTGAGCTTTGTTCTGTTCAGATTTTTTTACACCAAAATAAGCACTTCTTCAAGGAAGAATATGTGCAAAAGACATTAATTAGTTTAGTGACCAGTCAACTGTTACAGCCAAATTTTCAACAGCATGTTAAATTAAAGTAGTAAGACGCGATGTCTTGATTGCAGAGCTAGCAATGTCTCTGCTGCTGTGGTCTGTAAGCACTGACCTTTTACTGTGTCTTTATTTACCACTTGTGGGGTAACAGTGTATAACTTTTCAATTTCTCAGACTGAGTGCTGGTTTCTGATCTCTGAGCATCAGCTGGGCTTACTCCAGCAGATCTGATGAATCTGCTGATCAGCATCTCCTTACCTTTTTTCAGGACCTGATGTCCAGTGGCAAACACTGTAGGCCTGCAGTAGTCTTTTATCAAGTACTGCATGTCTCCTATTGTTAATAGTAAAGAGCACAAGAGGAAAAACACTGTAAAATAGTTTGTCTGCAGTTCCATTTTACAAAAAAATGCTTAGGTCTTATTTCACTGACTCCTTCAAGTAGATCATCTTTTTCAGAAGGCAGACTTCTTTCATTGAAATATAAACTTTTCCTGTGGTCTGACACACATGGACAGTGTTTTAAACTTCATTTTTTTTCATCTTTAGTGCTAAAAAAGGCAATTCTCTCCCTGGCCACAGACCTTGCCTGTACCCTCCCTCTGACTTGTGGCAGCCCAGTGGAGTGGTTGGAGTTAAAAGCAAGTTTTTCTCTTTACAAACTGATCTGGTTTGTGGTGCAGACCTGCAACTATGTACTCACATAAGAGCATACAGTGGAATAAAAAAGTAGGGTGTGATCTCCAAAACTAGGATGAAAAGAGGGGTGGGTTGTGGCCTTTGGTGGTTGCAAAGCCTCTCTGGTGGTGAGCTATTGCCAAGATGGCCAGCCTGTCCTCTCCCTTTCCTCTATCCTTCCTCCTTCACTTGTGTTAGATGTAGAAATCACATGGTAACAAGATGATTTTTCTGCTAGATCAGCTTTCAGATTGTTTTGGGTAGCCAGTCAAAAGAGGAGGAAAGGTTTCTACCACATCAGTGAGCTGAATCAACCTGCCCTGTAGCTGTGTGACGAGCAGCAGAGGATCAGTGTGTGGTTGGCAGCAGATAGAGGGTCTGGCCACAGGACTCACTAGCTGAGATCAGTTCTGACCACGTTAGGAACCTCAGCCAGAGGCAGTAGTTTCATGGAGTTCAAGCTAGTAGGCTGCTGCTGCTGCCACAGAGGATATCCTGCCTCCCACAGTGCCTCACCACTGCTCCCCTTTCTCATGGTTCACCAAAACTACTCACAGAGCTGGGCTATGAACCAGGTCAGGATACTGGTTCAGATTTTAATAATCCTTTTTTTCCTCCCTCTGGATGTATGCTGGATAGCCAAATGCTCATTTTGGCACAAAGACTGGGACTAGAAGGAGTTTTGAGGGACAAGTGAGACTGATTCCTTTGGCTCTGAAATTAAACCCTGAGGTTTCTGTTTCATGATACATGATTAAGTGATCCAACAGGTTTCTGCTCGGGATGAGCTTTACCTTCTCCCCTCCCCTTTCCCAGACACACACTCTTGGTGCTTATTTTGCATTCATTTTGGCACTTGGATACCTCTGTGAACTGATCCAACTTGCTAGCCTGGTTTTCCTCTGTCGTGTGGGTTGAATCTGCAGTTTGGAGGGGCTGATGGATGCCAGCAGCAACTCAAGGTGGGGCAAGGAGGGTGTGTGGTTGGAAGAGGGGAGGCAGAGGGGGAGGCAACCCTCCTGGTACTGTCTGGCTGCTTCTGGAACAAGAACAACATGGGGAAGGAGTGGGAAACCACATCTTCTGGCTGAGCCTTGCTAAACCAGTCTGGTGAGCTCTGCAGATGGAGCAGGACCCACACACCTCAGAGGTGGTTGCTTCCCTCCCTCTCTACTAAAAGCCATTGCGTTCATCTTTCTGATTGTTTCTTCATCACACTGTTGATTGTTTTCAGAAGTGATGAACATACATCTCAATTGCCTGATCTCAGTGGAGACTTGTAGTTTACTAGAGAGTTCACCATTATGTAAATTTGCTATGAAAAATCTACTGTCTTTCAGATTTGGGTCTGGAACATCCATATTTTCTGTTAGGTTTAAGGATTCAGTAGGAAAATAAGAAAATTAAAAACAGAAAGCTGAAATTATGTTCAAAGTATAATTTTCTCTGTAATGTATAGGTTAAGAAAGCACAAATACAATGCATAAAGTAACCTAAAAATTGCATAAGTAAAAAACCAGATTTACATACATTTGAAGAGAAAAGAATCAAAATTGTTTTGTCCCATTTTTGTGAATTTTTCCTTAAAAATAAAAAAATAGCTAAGTTTTTGATGGTTTGGCAGCTGTGCGGATGACATCAGCTCCTCCATTGGGAAAGATCTCGTCTTTTAAACAGCCTTATGGCATTTCATCAAGTTTTGGTGATTCAGCTAAATTAAAACCCAACTGGTTTTCAGTCTCAATTCCCCTAACTGCTAAACCAAACCTATTTTTGACCACAGTCATTGCTAGATGGCCTGTCTTGAAGCAGCATTGAAACTTTATATCCCA